GGTTGTCCCCGTGGCGTGACGTCGGTCTTATTGAATTGCTTATGGCGCACATGAAAGCTAAAAGGTTGTCCCCGTGGCGTGACGTCGGTCTTATTGAATTGCTTATGGCGCACATGAAAGCTAAAAGGTTGTCCCCGTGGCGTGACGTCGGTCTTATTGAATTGCTTATGGCGCACATGAAAGCTAAAAGGTTGTCCCCGTGGCGTGACGTCGGTCTTATTGAATTGCTTATGGCGCACATGAAAGCTAAAAGGTTGTCCCCGTGGCGTGACGTCGGTCTTATTGAATTGCTTATGGCGCACATGAAAGCTAAAAGGTTGTCCCCGTGGCGTGACGTCGGTCTTATTGAATTGCTTATGGCGCACATGAAAGCTAAAAGGTTGTCCCCGTGGCGTGACGTCGGTCTTATTGAATTGCTTATGGCGCACATGAAAGCTAAAAGGTTGTCCCCGTGGCGTGACGTCGGTCTTATTGAATTGCTTATGGCGCACATGAAAGCTAAAAGGTTGTCCCCGTGGCGTGACGTCGGCATTGAACTTCTTATGTTGCGAGCCGAACGAGTTTATAAACTACATTCATATTTGATAATTAATGAGTGATAAACCAACAAATAACACAAAATTTGTCTTATTAATAAAATCAAATAAAACACGAAATTCAAATTAATCAAACCATTACGAATTATAAATAATGCGAAATGTTATAAATACAGTATATAAAACCAGCCATCTGGCTTGGTTTGGTTATGTTAAAAACTTTGGAGATTTTAGCTTTAACTCTTGTTGTGAACAGACGTGTCATCACTTGAATCGACTATTGTCGCCATTTTGTATTTCTTTGTTTTATGTTTAAGCATTAATAAAAGACTTCACAGTCCCAAAGGTCGTAAGTGTATTATTTGTTCGGGCCATTAGTTGCCCGTTCTTTCTCTTCAAATGTTATTCTCTTTCCATCTTTTCTCCCGTTCCTCATAAGCACACACACACACCCATACCCGCTAATTAAGGCCTACTGTTGGTCACGTCCGTGGCAACCGACTCGCGTACCCTCTGTGTCTTCGGATACATACCTGTCAATTGCGTTTCACTGACCAAACATCGCGAGACGGACGTGGAGTGACTGTCGGACATCTATTGGAGTGACGACTGGCCGAATTATTACAGAGAAGGCATAGATTTACGGAAGCATTTAAATGCATAATTATTGTTTGAATGTCAACATAAAATAAATTTTCACTCACAATTTTATTCCCGAATTTGGCTGTTTTATGATCCCGATTCCCGCCCGAATTTAGGTGTGTTTATTCCCGAAAAATAGAGACTCTAATAATAAGCAAGTGTTTTGCGATTAAATGAAACATTTGAGAGCAAACATAGTATGGATAGAGAGGAGAAGATATCAACCACTAAATTGTCATTCAAGACAACGTTCTCAACAAGTTTAGCACTTTTCTTGTCTTTTCGGCACTCATTTTCATTGAAATGTTTTTAATAAATATTTGAAATAAGTTTTCCGTTAATAACCGACAAAATTACAAATTATTTTACAATCGTTTCATTTTGTAATGAAAGTGAATATTTGGCTAACAATACATGCCTTTAAAAATGGCAACAAATTTTGAATTAAAAATATTTTAACAATTTTTGTAATTAAATTAATTGTTAGGAATTAATAATTCCACACAATATTGAGCCGTAAATGAAGAAATATTGGCTCTTATAAAACAGTTATGTCATTCATTTCATCGTCCGATTCATCGATTGTTATCATAGAGTTATCATTGATTGTAATCACAGACTCCTTATTATCACTTGTTTTCTGTTTTTTAATTGTCTTCACTTTCGGTGTTTTATTTGATCGCTTTTGTGACAACGAATTGAGAAAATAAGTGATTTTCATGTCTTTAGATCGTGTGAGTGAACGCGAGCCCACTGTTAGGTAACTGATGGTCGAATAGGGCGTGAAATGAAACTCTTCTTTGAGATAACCATCGATTAGTAATAAACCAATGATTTGTTCGCAAACATTGCGTCCAATACTTGGGCTTTGGATGCCATCGACTCTTAACTTCTTGTTTCCCTTCGCAAACCAGGCGTCCATTAATTTCAATGCAGTCATCCTTTCGCTCATTTTGGACGCGTTGTTCAGTATTTGGTTTACATTCAGTAAATGTTTGGTCACATCTGTTTCACTCGACTCATCCCTATTCATACAGTTGTCACACATTTGGTCGCAATTGTTCTTCCATTTGTCACCGAAATATGTGGCCATTTGTTCTGTAAGTATACATCAATTGCTTATAATTTGCTAATCATTTATGTTATTAAAACTTGTGATACCTTTTCGACACGTCTTATCATTGAGACAATAGGCGAGCATTGAGTACACGTTCGACAAACCATTCTTCTCACTAAAGACTAAACTAGTGGTACGGAAGACGTCTTGGAATCGATAATAGAGGAGACAATCGGCCGGCTGTCCATCCCTTCCGGCTCTTCCCGTCTCCTGATAATAGTTTTCCAATGACTTAGACATTGAAAAGTGTATAACAAATCTGAGGTCGAGTTTATTGATTCCCATTCCGAAGGCAACGGTTGCGACGATTACTTGACATAAGTTTTGAGACCACTTTCGGTGAATGTGTGACCGAACCTGTGGTTCAAGTTGTGCGTGATATGCGCCCGCCTTTACACCCAATGATTTCAGCTTTTCGGTCACTTCCTCGACGTCTTTGATTGTCAAACAGTATATAATTCCCGATTGTTTCGCATATTTTGTTTTCAACAGTTTCGCTATTTTCTCGATCTGTTCCTCTCTTTTGTAATCAACTTTTTTGATAAAATATCTCAGATTTGAGCGAAAGAACGAGTCCTTCAATACAATACAGCCCTCAATACTCAATATCTTCTGTATGTCTAGAATGACAGCAGAGGTTGCGGTCGCTGTCAGGCCTAAGATAGGAGTGTCCGGGAATTGAGTCTTCATTACACCTAAAAATTGATAATCCGGGCGAAAGTCGTGACCCCATTGGGAACAGCAGTGGACCTAAACATCGATACAAATAGTAATTAGTTATTGAAAGTCACAAAACAATTCTTAGCGATGAATACCTCGTCGATGACAATACGATTGAGTCGTTTATTTCGATAGCATTTCTCCATTTGTGACATAAATCTCTTGGATTTTGCCATCTTTTCGGGCGTCACGTAAACTAATATAAGAGTGCCCTTCGGATCGGCCATCGATTTCAGAATCTCATTGTTCTCTTCGCGAGTGGTCTGACCGCTGATGACAGCCGTCGGTATATTAAGCGCTTTGAGACCATTCATCTGATCCTCCATTAATGATATGAGCGGTGAGACAACAACAGTGAGACCGTCGCCGATGAGAGCCGGCAACTGAAAGCACAGGGATTTGCCGCCACCCGTAGGCATCACAAGAACGCAATCACTGCCAGAAAGGGTGGCATTAATTGCCATCAATTGGTACGACCGGAATGTCTTCAGTTTGAAGACCGCCTGCAAGAGGTGCTCAACCCGTTTGGACCATTCAAACTCATTGCCATCGAAGCGGCTATCGTTTGACGTGTGGCTCATTGTCTGCAGAGTTGTCTCCATCGACTTGATCCGCGTCTCCAACTGTCTCTTCCTCGACCTCAAAGTCATGATCTGTTCGTTGATTTCCTGTAACTCTCGCTTCGATTCGCGTAACTCTTGATTCAGCGATTGGTTTGAAGACATGTTTTGGTTGTCGTCGTCGTTGTTGTGCCGCAAATGTCACTCAAAAGACGGATCAGTTGTTTTCAAAAACAATGCCAACAAATATCGCTCGCAATCAGCTGTTTGTTTGAACACAACAACACTCTATGACAGCCAATCAGTGATTAGTATTTGAAAACATAATAACAACACATCATTACCTGTATATTAATTTCTAGAGAGAGACGACACGTGGGAATGAGAATTGGGTGAAAGCACTCAATACACCACACATTGACCCAAACTTGTGGTCAAACCAGTGGTCACTCACTCCACACTATATACACACACTCTCTGTGTAGTCAACTGTCCATTCAATGTGTGCTCAATAGTACTTGTATTACACGTCCAGTCATTCATCCATTCATTTCATTCATTGTTTACTTTTGTATTTTTTTTATTTGTTTTCATAATTTAAACTGAATTGTCTTTTATGGCCGCTTCCGATGACGAGTCCCATAACGAGACCACCGATGGACACACCGGTGAAGACTCGCACGAGAGTCAGAGACCCAGACTTAGCATTAGAAATAGCCATCGCTTGTCAATTAATCAAATTCAACAATTGCTAAACAACTGTGTCATCGATTGTCTGCAACCCATTGATGGCCTCATAGAAAGCGCCCATCAATTGTCACTTATAGTAGATCCGCATCCTTTCACATCACTCACTACTCGACCACAAAATGACAGCCAAAGGGAACACAAAAAGAGAAAGAAGAGAAAATTTCACTATTCGTGTAAACAACTAAAATCTGATCTCAAGAGGGATGTGTCCGAAGAGGTGTATATTATTGAAGCCATTCGTGACGTTAGGCTCAACAATGAGTCGAAACTCGTGTTTTGGATCAAATGGAAAGGTTATGGAGAAGATGTCAACACATGGCAGACATCCGACGATCTCTTTGAGTGTGACTCTCATTATCAACACTACTATAAGCAACAGTTTGCCAAAGAAGTGATTGATTACGATATGAACGACTTTTACACGTTTGCCAATTGTCTGAAAGACGCGGCGGGCACTGAGGCCGACACCGCTGTTGTCCTTCAACTAAATAACATTGATATTAAAGAGTTTAACCGAACGGACAAACAATTACAGCAATTGAAGCAAAATCTAAGACAATATCTCAAAGCATTGAAAGTAATGAATAAAGAATTGGAAACCTTTGAGAAGCGCCGAAGGGATCACTTTTGGCCGCAGAAGATATTAATTCAGATTTTGGTCCGCGAGATGAACATTGAGACCACTTTCGGTGGTTTGAGAGCATTCTTCCAATTCGTTGAACAACGAGAACATACGGTATACAAGTTGAAGAAATGGGAGACAAAAATCAATAAGCAATTGGTTGAGTGCGGGTTCGCTGACGACAGGATTTGGGTGGAGAATCACGTGGATCTGGAGGTCCCGACAAAAATCAGTTATTTGCATAAATACCAAATGCACACAACGGTTG